CATATTTCTTAAATGAAATGAATCTTTTCATTCGAAATTAACACCAAACACAGATTCAATGTTACGCATTCAGATTCCTTTATTTATGATGATGCAACTGACTTCATTCTTATGCAGTTTATTTAGACTTCTTGAAAGAAACATACGTATATTAATTAATTTTTTACCCAAATTCGGGTATTAAATATTAAATGTAACTTGATAATAGTATTATACTATTATCAAGTTACATTTAGAAAAATATATACTAATAAAATTGATTATTATTTATTGATATAAAGCTCTATTATATAATGAGGAAGAAATCACATAAAATAAACCTAAGGAAAAAATACACAAAAATTAACAGTTTTTTTTAAATACACAATTTTTTTATGCATAAATGCAATACAAAAACATAAAACTCTGAAAGACGAGAAAACAAAACCAAAAATTAAGATGAACGCAAAATTTGCTCGATGATATACAAGTAACTTCAATATTTCGAAAGAAGACTAATATCTGTGATTACTGACTGGCAAAATTTTCTGCTCAGTTGAAGCTAATAATTGCTTTCCTTTTCTTAGCCAGCTATAGCCAAGTTAATAATTTGCTACAGAAAACAAGAAACAGGTAGAATATTTTTGATCAGGGTGATTTAAGAATGACGTTTTCAAACTTAAGGCCAAATATTAAAGAGACCGTCAGTACTTAGAGCGTAGCCAACACATAAATTAAAATGGAATTTTCGTTTGATTAGAATTATATGATTTTGTTTCTGAAAACTAGTCAATATTTGTAAAATCAAATATAATAATACTACAAAAAATATTGAAACATAAATTTAACAAATATTTTTTCCAAAACATTTATCCACATTCTTAGTCTAATTATTAAACTATTTATGTACAATTATTTGTATTATTATGTTACATACTGCATATTTTCGAGAAAAATTTAAAGGGGACGATGAAAAAATAATTCGTTCATAAAGAATCTCTTCAAGAAAAAGTTTGACAAGTATTGTTTTAACAAATCTCCTCTCTCAATTTCGGTTCTATGCATGAGATTTTACTTTCAATTTTCTCGGAGGTAAGATATTCTGTCGATCAGGAAGTTTTGCTGATTATGCGTCTAAGTGGTGCAGCCACTTGATCAGCGTCACACGCACACCTCATTCACATATCGAAAATAACTCTGTTATGTATCATGCACTTTCACTGTATAGTTTCCAGCATATGACTTTATTTTTTATTTCATGTGTGCAACAAAAATGCGAGCAAATTTCGCCTGGGAAGTCTTCAGCGTTAAATCCCTCTTTTGAAGATAGGTAATTCTTTTATCTCTTACCTAATCAATTAATTCATACACCTAAATGTAGAATATAAAGAAAAAAAAGCTCTTTCACTCCTAGTTTTTATAAGTTCCTTAAAAAGCTTGCATTTTCAAGTGAACAAAGTTTGGAAAATATTTGTGATACCTACTTACAAAGAGAGACTTTATGCGCAGAATTTATAAAATCAGAAGTTTAAAAATAATGCAAACTTCAACCAGAAAATTATGTTTTTGTCTAAGTCTAGACATAGTGACTTGGAGAACCTCTTAAACGCAGTAAACGCAGAAAGTTTGCTATAAAGATTTAATCCAAATCTAAGAGAATTAAATATTTTGAATATAAAAACATATTTTACTTCTCATTCAAAAGTAATTCATTCCTTCATTTGAAAACACTTTTAAAAAATTAATAAAAAGTCTGGTAACCATAAGAAGGAATTAAAAAATAAATTAATTCAAATTGAAGTTTTGAAAGACGGATATTGAAATTACTGACGGGTAAGAATTTTCCTAACTTCTATGCAGTTGCTCGAAAATTTTCTGCTCAGATAAAGATAGTAACTACTTTCATTTGCAATAATCTGCAGTTTTGATAAAACTGAGTAATAAATGTTCTTAATTTTTATTACTTGAAATTCTTAGAACCCCAATTAAGAAATTTAAACTTTCGGAAATGTTTTGAGAAAACAGCATTTCAAAGTCGAAACGAATATCTTGTTGCTTTGAAGAGATTAATTGAGTGTAGAATTTAAACCATCAACTTTTGATTCAAAATTCCTATGAAATTTTCAAAACTGACGAGAAAAAGGTTAAAGCAGTCATGCGTTTATATTGCTAAGAACTATATACATAATTATGTATAAAGAAGTTCTGAGAATAAAGCTTAAACTATGTAAATGCTGTTTTATCTTAATTGTTGATGCACACATAAAGTTGATTAATTTAATATTCTTAATTAAATAAACAAGTCCGTAAAATTCAGTTTCTGAAAAATGTGCTCAAAAGTAATGTTATAGTTGAAAATGCTATGCAATAACGGCCCACTTTGATATCTTTTAAAAAGCAGCATGACGACAAGTCTAGACATAGTGAATGTTGTGATGCATTTAAAAGTCGAAACAAAAGAAATTTAAAATCCATTGTAATATAGATATATAAATCTACTACGCTCACCTTTGCTCAACAGGCTTAATAAAAGTATTTTATTTTTCTAGTTTAGGTGCCAAGCAGCTATCACGGCTTCTTGGGAAAATTACTAAATTGATTCCGCTCTAGTTAATTCTCTGTTTCCGCTTAGTTCATTCCCAAAAGCTCAGTTAGTTCGGATTAATGGAATTCTATTGCTATAATATATTCAATTTTGAAGCACCCAATATTTCTATGGATATTTAAAATTTTTATTTAGTTCTTTTTGAGATATATTGTATAAATCACCAGTAAATCCTTCAGATACTTATTCAGGTTCATGTAGCTACATCGTTAGTAATACTTGTTCACATTTAGGAAATACAATAAATTTTATTCAGAGAACATGAAAAATGTTTCTAAAAACATGTTGAGAAAAAGTGCTCTCATGGCTTGTAAAGAGAAACTAACCTGATTAGTTAATAATAAATAGAATAAAAAGTAAAAATTACTAACTATTTAAATAATTAGTCGCAAATCCAATTAAAAGAAATAAAACTTTAAAGGTTGCAATTCATTATTTAAAATTAATCACAATTACGACGTATTAACATAAATATTTATCTCTAGATATGATTTCAGAAATTAATTTTGAAAGCTACTAAAATTAGTGCTTTTTTGTAAAATTGTTATATTTTTTCTAAAATTATTAATTTATTGTAAAACTATGTTCATTTAATGAAACGAATGTTCCAAAATTTTTTTTTCATATTTATGTAGTTAAGTCTCGTTTAATAAATTTTATATCTTTGTCATTTAATATTCGAAAAACAAATTGTTAATTCTAAGCGCACTTAGGAAATATTCCACTATAAAAGCAGAGAATTTTCTGACCCAAATCACTTTACATTTTAGTGAATCTTAACTCCAGCACTAGAAAATATATTAAAATGATGGATGATTTTTCGCTGTGTTTGAAGAATAAATACGCATTGTATCTATATAGAGTAAACGGCGGCCAAGCGGTATAGTGGTTAGCGCCTCTGATTGCTGTGCCGAAGGGCACGGATCTGAATCCCGGAGAAGACATGGATATTTGTAAATGTATAGCGACGGTGCGGCATGCGGCACTCTGTATATGCGGCGAGCCGAAAGTCCTTTCGTGTGGTTTGAAGGAAGGGGAAAGGGGTGAGAGACTTTCGGACCCGTCCCCCCCGGGCCGTCTTCATCCAAATTGGAGGTAGAAATGAAGAAAATCGCACTGTCACCTGAATGGTGCTCAATGCTGTTGCCAACGGCTGGAGAAATCTAGCGCTCTTTGCCACGAGGAGTTCCTTAGGCTTGGGCTGACTATGTCAGACAAGTGAGCACAAACAACAACAACATATATTGTAAACTGAAATATTTTACTTTTTTTCACATTATAAAAATTGAAAATTTTCACATGCTTACGAAAGAAATGGACAGTAGTACAAAATTTGAATATTTCCATCTTACCAGTATGCAAGCTGAGAAATTCAATTTAATGAGAAATAAACACATTTTAATTATTCAAGGACTGGAAAATCTATGTTAAGGAAATAAATCGATTAAGCACCAATAAGCTGGATTTTTTTGTTGGTTAAAGGGGCAGGGTCGCTGATGATTTCTTGCTTTCACTATTTGCATATCTTGAATACGGCTTAGTTTTCTTCCGAAAGTCTTGCGTGGAAGCAGTTCTCCTTGATGTAAATACGCTCCTACAGTTTCTGTGGCATAATAAAAATAACATGTGACAATTATTTTAAGTTTTACTAAAAGTTTCATTTAACCCCTGCAGTACTTTCTGAATGAGATGACAAGGTTATGCAGAAGAAGACCCCAAAAAAGGAAGTTAAAATTTAGCTAGACTAACTGCAACTCATATGTAGTGCAATAAAAACCTGACATTCCGACTGTGATATTTACTGCCAGTATTTATTGCATGCTGCAGAGATTCTCATTTGATATTTGTGTAAATACTTTTAATGATTAGAGGTATTAAACGTCCTTACTACCTCTAAACCAAGTGTTAGATGTTAGTAAGTGTTCTTTAAGTAGTTAGAGGGAAGAAATATTCACGTATCTTTTGTAAAAGAAATTATTTCGTGGTAATTATAATATTCTAAAGCCAGTGGTTTCAAACTGGTGGCCTGCGGGCGCATACTTCCCCGAAGCAATTTTATGCCACCTGTGAATATATTTCAATTATTTATTATATTGTAACATTTAAATATACACATGGTAACTATTTATAATACACATTTCAATTATTCATGATATTATTATTGCAAATACGGTGTTGCAAAAGTTTCAAGATTTCAGTCTCTTGAAGCCCGATTTTACATTATTTTCATTACCATTAAAAATGTACAGTGTTTATAAATGGAGAAAATTTTAAAATGCAGCTAATTAATTTCAAATGTAATATAAATCTCATTCAAAGATTTGAAGATACATATTTTATTAATTTTTATTCGTAATTGTTAAAAAATAAGTACACTCAATTACGAATTTTTGTACTCAGAATTATATCTTTGTTTGGGAATATATTTATATGTGAAGATATTTTTTTCGAAGTTGAAAATTAATAACGAAAGAGCCCTATTGACAGATGAGCATCTACAAGAACAGATGACAATAATTTCACTCAATCTCTCTCCAAGGCTGCAAACTTGATCTCAATTGAAACGTCATCAAGTGTCATGCTGTAGTAAAAATAAAGGCGTTTATAATTATTTATGTACAAACATGCATATTTTTATTTATGCGTCAAAGAAAAATTTGATAAATAAGAGGAAGCAATTAAAATAATGTCATTTTTTTAATCGCAAGTTACGCCCCACTTGGAAAGTGTTCTCCGAGGAATCAAAAACGTTTTAATAACTTGTTTATTTATACTTTAATTTAAAGTAATATATATTTAAAGATTCATTAAACATTTTAGAATTACTTAATAAATGTCAAACTGAAAATTTAATGTTAAGCTGTCAAAATGTTTGAGTTACAAAGTGCAACCAAAAAAATGACATGAAAGCACCAAATTTCAAATTTCAGAAGGAAAGTAAATTGATATTTGAATTTTTTTCTTTTCGACATTATTATCACTATTAATGATAATGTTTTGATATCTATTTAATAAGAGAAATTTACAATTTGTTTAATTATTTTTATTTCGTTAATAAAAATTTTCAAAAAGAAACCTGGCCCATCAGCTGTTTTCAGATCATGCAGTCTACCCGCTTGTAACAATTATTTTTAGTAGAAATCGATACCACAGATCTAAGCTTTAAAAGTTATTGTCCAGAAATTGTAGTCATTTGGTATTTATAAAAGAAGGAAAGATGAACATTTATCAATGCCCTCGAACTCCGAGCTTCCTGACTGCTAGAGTTTCCAATTACACACGAGGACACGCTGTAAGGAAAGAAAAATATCCTTGCAACGTAATCGACCATTCTAGTCATATTGTTACGAAATGTACAGGCGCGGTAAGATGGCTTCCCCGCAAAGCGGTTTTAGGGTTGCCATAACATGGCAAGGGAAGGCAGGGTTGCGACATTTGGCGAGAAATCGCCCATTTGGCGATAAAATTGGCGATACACCATGGACGGATGGAGAACCATCTGGAACGAATTGTTACCGGTTTAGCCCAGAATGTTCTCGAACACAAGCCGAAAGCTATATAAACCCTGCTGGTCCGCAGTCAGTTAGTGTCTCAGAGTGTGAGTGCCTCGCATAGATGGCGAGTCAGATTGCCTCGTCTAGAGTGCGAGTTAGTTAGTATCTCCTCTAGCGAGTCAATCCCTGCGGAGTCGATCGAGTTGACAGCCGGCCAGCGAGTGCCGAGTGGGTCGTCGAGTGCACCGAAAGAGTCTCGTAGTGTATCGCGGTTAGTGCATCGTCGAGAGAGCGTGTTGAACTCCGGAAACGACTGAACCGAAGAATCGAGAGCTGTGCTCTATGTGTCGTCGAGTGCATCGCGAGTTGTAGCGTGGAGAGTCTCGAGAATACGTGGAGTTCCAAGAATGACCAAGCAGAGTCGGGAGCTGTACTCTAGTGCTTTGCCATGAAACTGTCTCCACTGTGATAGCCTGATAACCTGGAGGCTGTGTCGCTGATCATGTCAGTGTGTTTATAGTAGTTCATCGACGACTGTAAAAACGTGTTTTGGAGCTGTCTTGACAATACTGGCCAATAAAGTGTGTTTCGATACTTCATCAAGTAGTATTGTCATTATTCACTCGAAATCTTCACGAACCCCGTACGAACGTGAAGGAAGAAAATAACGTAACAACTGATGTCAGAAAAGAAAAACGCAACAATACATTCTAGTTTTACCTGTAACCCACCAGGAGCAGAAGAATAAACATTTTGTTCAGTTTTAAATTTGTGTTTACGTACAAGTTGATCGGATTCAGGACGCTGATTTGTCGACAATTCAGAAGTATCTTAACTTGAAATATACGTTTAGGTAAGCCTGCAGTACCAGAGTTATAAATTCAGTGCGCGAGAAGTCTGACTTTCACTGTGACAACCACTAATGACTTTTTGCATAATTTGGCTTCGTTGCTGGAAACAGCGTATAAAGGCAGCTAAAATTTAAATGCTTTATGATCAAGAGTTTTAAAAAATTACTTCTTTTTTCAAAATATTCACACAAAAAATTTTAATTTTGCTTTTTTTACCCAAATATGTGATCATGGAAGCATATGGGAAAATTTATATAAAAGCCCAATATAAGCATATCTTGCATAATCCGGATAATCGGTTCCACCACTGTACTGGACTGTTTGAAACCAGATTAATCGAGGAACTAAATGTGTACAAAAGTGATCATTGGTTCCAAAAAGTTTATCTTTACTTTATAATAAATAAATGCGATTAATAAGTTCAAATATCTTTATCATAAATGATTTAAAAATTATCTTTGTCGTAATTCACTTTTTATCCTTATATAATTACAATATATATGATTTTGTTCTTTAACTTTTCCTTTTCAATCATTTCTCCTAGCTACTGTTTTAATCGGCAGTTTGTAAGTCTATGCCCAATATTGGATCAACTTTTAATTTTGCTTTGACGAGGTTTTAAACATTCCAGCCATTTTTAATCACTAAATAATTCAACTGTTAAATCTTGTGATGCCCGGGCTCGAATCTCGGTAAAGGAATAGACGTTTGCAAATGTATACTCTCTTTATAACACAGGGGGATTAATTAAAATATTGGCGAACAGAAAGGCATATCGAGAGATTTAATGCTAGGAATAGAGGGACACTCGGATCCGTCCTCCCGGGATATTCAAGTCAAAAACAGGGATGAAGTTTTGCAGGTAGTGTAGTAGGCCCATATCTATATAACTAACATTAAAAACTCCTGCTGTCTCGTCCACTTATTTATGTCCTATATAAAAAAGTACGTATGCATTTAAAAAATAACTTTTTAGACATTTATTTATTCTTCTGAATTAAAATTTAGTTTGTTTTAAAATTTCAAATAATCTATAATGAATTCGGACTGATCGAAGTCGAACTATGTGAGATACTGCTGTACCCTTTGTATCCTTATACAGTTTAGACTTACTCAGGTAGAACCAGTCATGAGAAGCAGGATTTCTCTTATACAATTAGTTCTAACTAAAATTTGTGTGACTAATTAGGAAACTATCTAATAAAATCAATATCATTGTGACGGACTACCAGGTTTGTTTGGAAAACAATTGACTGACTGTCACCAGTCTATTAGTTTTAAGGGCATTAAGTATGAATTATTTTCATAAAACGAGAAGTACTTTTTCAAATTTTTCCAGGAGAAATTCTGCATTTAAATCATTAGATTTTTCCTTGGAAAGAAATGTTCTTGAATAAGATACTAATTAAGAACTAATTATTCTTAATTAGTAATTAACTTTACTAATTAAGAATTCTTTGTTGAAGGTCTATGTGAAAATCTAATCTTCTATTGTAAGCTATTATCACAGTCTTCCGTACATGCTATCGTGGTGTAAACGGTTAGCATGTCCAGCTAGCAAGTGGAAGATCCGTAGTTAGAATCTCTAAGAAGGCATATTGATGTTTTGTGTTTCTTCCTTTGACGTTGTTAATAGTCTACATTAAAATTAAATGGATTATCTTGTAGAGTACGATAACTCGTCAGTATTTAGATTTCGCATCTCTCCCTTTTCCTGTCGTACTCTATATGTAGCAGATTGTAAGAAATTATCACATTCGCCTGTGTATTATTGAGATGTAGGTCATAATAACATCTAGTTAACAAGTGGAAGATTCGTATTTCGAATCTCAGAGACAACATTGTTAATTTTTCACGTTTCTCACTCACAAAGACCTAATGGTATCTGAGACTCTGCACAAGTTCTAAAATCTGGGACTAATTATGCCATTCACGAGACTTTCCGGGACGTATATTACATACACTGGTCGGCGAATTAGAAACCCAAGATCAATATTTTATTGGACCACCTTTTGCATAAATAACTGCTCTGATTTGTTTGGGCTTCGAGCCTACATGCTTCTGGAGTGCATTTACGCCCAGAAAATACCATGCACTGGCTATGCAGCTTTTAAAATTAGATGGAAGACGAGAGTGCTGTCGGATGCGTCTTTCTACCATATCCCACATATTTTCTATGGGTCTTAATGATCTGGACTATGAGGTGGCCAGGAAAGGTGTTGAAAATCAGACTGATGTTCAGCAAACCAATTTTGATCACTTCTGACACGATGTATAGTTGCATTGTCGTCCATGAAGTAACCGGGTGGCCATCAGGGTAAAACTGCAACATTGCACGGTGCACTTGATCTGGCAGTATGTCCTTTTATATGGCTGTTTTTGAGAAGCCAGTGAAGTTTGCTGTCTTCGAAATCGGGGGCTCCTGTTAAACGGGCATCACCAATAAGCCCTTTTCCGAATGGTGAAAGAACTGTCGTTTTTCCCATTTTACTCCCCCCCCCATTCGTTGGGCAAAACACTCCTTCACCTTACGTAAACTAGCATCCTAATCACTCGTAACCCACGTCATAAAACAAAATTCGCATACTTCATCCCTAGCACGCATTCAAATGAAAATCTCGAAAGTTTCTAATTCATTGGTCAGTGTGTGTATAACGGTTTGCTACATTAAAATTCAGTTCTGGGCAACTCGTAACATGTGTTACCTTACGCTTAATCTAATTCAATATTATTTTCCCCCTCCTTTAAGTTACTTCACAATTTTAAACAATACAATCCGAAAATTTGGTGCTTAATATTCGGTACAGATATGTTATATAATTTATATAATGTTTGCATAAAATACTATGAAGTGAGTTTCGGATAAAAATATTGTTTATGTGAATATAGTACTAAATATATGTGTGACACTGCTTTATGTAATTAATATGTATGGTACAATTTTATTTATTTGACGTAATATGCTGCATTCGTTTATGAAGTTGTTGTATATAGTATATGTTCCGGTATTGTTTCTGAAATGAATCATCGGTTTATGATTTTGATGCATATAATGCTTCGTCAAAACATATTGTTTAGTTTCTGCGTACGATTGTAACGTACATGAATGCCATGGATCCAAACACATTATTTCTGAAAGAAAAAACATTTTGTACCTGCAAAGACAAAGAAAAGAAAAATTATTTGAAGTAATTCTTTGTAAAACATTTGTGGCATAGTTTTAATTCAAACCCAAA